TGTATGGATTGTGATAAGAGTGGTATGAGCCCCTAATACAATGATTTTTTTAAATGTGAATTTCGGTTCAGACCTTCTACTCTATAGACTGCCGTTTAAAGGTCTCAGCACTTGCTCCACCATTGCCTCATCAATTCCCTCAACAGGGATTCATTAGAAAGTGCCTGGCACTACGCTAATCAAGGAAAGTACTTAAGGCTGTTTCCTTGAGACCTGGGTTTCAAGTCCCTCATCCGGAAAAAAGAGTGGCTGCCAGATGCTGATATCAACACTGCGCCAGCCAGCTCACCGTCAGAGGTGATTCCAATTCATAGCAGCCACCTGCAGCTTGGTCTAAGGAAGGAGAGCGAGTGAGAGGGAAAGCCTTCCCTCTTCTCTGTGTCCTAGCATGGCTTAAAAAGGAATGGAGTCTCTCTGCTGACTATCAAACAAAATCCACGTCAGTTGCAGTGAGGCAATTCCAACTCAGAGAGGCCCCGTGAATGCTTGTCTGCGCTGGTTTTTTGGAATTTAATTACCAGGTCTTTGTTGAGAGCCACAAATAAATTAACTCAAACCTCTCCCCTTTCAGTAAGCCATCGAGCAGGTTATCCACTTACTGGCACTACCCAGGGGCTCGTACCTACTCCTAGCAACTATGAAAACAACTGGCCAGTGAATTGACAGGAATCCATGCTTTAGAAAATTTACTCCTTAAAATTTCCCCTACTTAGCATATTACTTAGAACTGCTGATAGCACAGTAGTTAAAGTATTCAGTTAAAGCCTCAAGTTCCAATCCTGAAGATAGTTGATGGATGAAGATAGATAGATAGATAGATAGATAGATAGATAGATAGATAGATAGATAGATAGATAGATGGTAAATAATTATACATGTCAAAACTGATTGAAGAGCAGTAAAGTTTGTGTTTATTTCCATTTGTTGGACAAAAATTATCAAGAAGATAGAAAGAATCCATAGTTAGTGTATTCACACACCGCCCCCAAAAAACATTGGTCAACGTAAGCAATTTCAGAAGGTTTACATACAATCAAGAACCAGTAGTATAAAAGGGAAGAAGCCCAAGCTGTTTTTCCCAAGAAATTTAGAAGAAAGCTACCTGGCCAAATAACTGGAAGGTTTGTACCTGTGCTTGTGCCTGTGTTTCTTTGAAATGGGCAGAACTGACTGAAGAATATGATTAATACGTCATGCAAGTAAAATTTTGCTGAGGATAATTCAACAGCAGTAGCACTAGGACATCAACAGGGGACAGCCAGAAATCTCACTGTGAATGTCACATGAATCTTGGCTGAGAGTAGAGAATACCTGTAAGATACTTGCCAGTAAATTGCCAATACAAAGATATTCAATTACCAATTTCCAATACAAAGATATTCAACTAGGTGTCTCAATCACTTATCCATAATGTGTAGAAGAATGCAGTCTGTACATAGACCAAGAGAGAGTGAATGAAGAGAACAGGAGGACGCTGCATTGTTTAAAAGCAGGAAAGCGGGCATCCGTGTGTATCCCTTCACCATATTCAACCTGTATGCTGAGCACATTCTCCAAGGTGCTGGACTATACGATGAAGCACAGGGCAAGAGAACGGAGGTGTGCACACTATGACCTATGATATGCAGATGACACAACCTTGCTTGCTGAAAGCAAAGAGCTCATGAACTATTTGCTAATGAAAATCAAGGACTGCAGCCTTCAGTACAGATTATACTTCAAGGCAAAGAAAATCAACACGCTCACAACTGGACCACTAGAGAACATCATGATCAATATGAAAGCAATTGGAAGTTGTCATGGATTGCATTTTACTTGAATCCAAAAACAACACCTAGGGAAGTAGCAGTCAAGAAATCAAACAATGCTGCAAAAGTTCTCCTTGTTAAATGGCGAAGATATCGCTTTTAAAATTAAGGTGCGCTTGGACCTAGCCTTGGGATCTTCCATCACCTCATCTACATGCAAAGGTTGGACAACCAATCAGGAAGACCGAAGCTGAACCGATTCCTTTGAATTCTGGTGTTGGTGTAGAATATTAAATGTACCAAGGACTACAAGAAGAACTAACACATCTGTCATTGAAGAAGTTCAAGGTCCCAACCTAAGTTTTATAAAATCGCCAGTCTTGGCTTCAATCTCTTCTGCCTCTTATTGGCCAAGCACTGCATTACCTATCACAATAGCATCCACAACTCTTCACAATCTGAATACCTGTGTTCATTGTTTTCTCTTCCTGCTTGCTCCACACTGGTTCTAATCATCTACAACAGCGGTTCTCGACCTGTGGGTTGCGACCCCTTTGGGGATCGAACGACCCTTTCACAGGGGTGGCGCAATTCATGACAGTAGAAAAATGACAGTTATGAAGTAGCGACGAAAATAATTTTATTATGGTTGGGGGGTCACCACAGCATGAGGAACTATATTAAAGTGTCGTGGCATTAGGAAGGTTGAGAACCACTGATCTAGAACGAGTCACATTCTCAAGTGTGCCTCACATGTGAAGAGGCACTTGTTTATTATAAATTTGCCTATTGCCCTACCATTAACTTGCAAAATGTTCTAGATTTTCCTCAATTTTGTTGTTTCTTCTGATGGAAGTCCATTTCTGTTATTGTTGTGACCTGATGCTACTTATGAAGGTGGATTACAGAGTTACCACAGCTTCTCCACAGCTAATTTACTACTAACTTATCCCTTAATATTTTTTTTCCAAGTATATCATATTTCCTTTGGGAACATTTATATCCTAACAGTTCGTACAAAAGTCAAAAGAAGCCTTCAGAACTTGGAGGTCCGCGCTACTCACCAAGGGTTCAGCCATTACGACTTCAATTTTCTTTTCCGCTTGAATAGCAAACTCGGCAAAGAGGCTCTTGATGACATATTCGCCAGGCTTGACATCCGGGTCGATGGTAATGTTTGACATGATGGCACTCTTCCCCCGCCCGGGGGAGTGAAAGGGGGCAGAAGTGCAGCACTTACTTACTCTGCTGACTGGAGCCGACGCTGAAAGTAAAAGGAACAAAAACACACACGTTTAGTTAGAATGAACCAGACAGCCACAGCCACCAACTCTGAACTGCAGCCTGTCCCACCTCCGCCATCCATCAAGCTCTCCCCATGTCCTCTCCTGTGCTCCGCTTTTCATCCACGGCATTTGCCACCTGCTGAGAGACTAGCATTCCGCCACGTGTTCGAGATCCCATGTGACTTCCACCCTCCTTAGTTGAGTTCCCTAAGAACGGGAGTTTTCTTTTGCCTTCTCTGTTCAGACTGCTGTATCCCAAGCCATTTAGTAAGTGTTCAGTAAATCTTTCTTGCAGTGAGAGGGAGAGAAAATAGGTATGACAGAAGGAAACGGATAGGGGTAGGGGATTTAGAGATGCTTCTTTGCAGAAAGGGAGGTTTCTCTGAGAAGCTTCATTTGAACTCAGACCTGAGTAAAGAAAAAGAGTCGGCAGAGCCAGGCGCCAACCAGAAACCAGACAGTGCAAACTCAGCATGCAGACCTGGGCACCAAATATGGCCTGTGTGACTGCACTCGGGGGAGCCCACGGCGCCGGGGTGATGCACAAAGAGGACAGGAACCTCAGGCAGAGACTCATCACACAGGGCCCTTCAGGACTTGCTTAGGACATTAGATTGTATTCTAAATGCAATTAAGGTTCAGTGGAAAGTACTAGCTTGAGAGGGATAGGACCTAGCTATTTATATAGAGCTTTGGAGGAGGGATTGGAAGGGGGCAAATGCAGAAGCAGGAATCCTCGCAAGATGGCCCTATGGTGGACAAAGAGGATGCCCTGAAGGGGGTGCAGGAGGAGAGGATCTGAGGTGTCCTGTGTTAACAATGAGCTACGGAGGGGAGGGGAAAACAATGAGCAATGACTCACAGAATCTTTATGTAAGTCGCTGAAAGAAGGGTGTTGCCAGTGACTCAGATGGGGACGACACAGTGCCTGGCGAGCAGTAAGATGCACTAGGCTTGACACCAAAGGAGCACATAGCACTGCAGGGGAGCCGCTACCCACCCCTGAGCTGCCTGCAGGACTCTGTGCACTCTCTCCAAGCGCCCCAGGTAGCTGGTCAGAGAAGAACACAAACCCTCCCATTTGCTACCTTCAGCTATGCTCCCCCCTTCGGCATAGAGTATTATTCATGGAAAACCAGAGCATTTGTACTTTTCCAGCTTAACCTGGTCTCCAGGTGTTGCTCTTTGCAAACACTCCCTGTAACAACTGCCCCTTAAAAATGAGCAAGTTATTATTTAAGCACTAAATCAATCAATAGCTCTGTATGTGTGTGAGTGAGAGAGAGAGAGAGAGAGAGAGAGAAAGCTAGAGAGAGCGCACAAGTGCAAGAGTGAGCTCAAGAGCAAGAGAGACTGAGCCTGAGATTACAGGGCAATTAATAAATAAGTATTCTGTCAACTGAAAACAAACAAAAACAAAAAACAACCCACTCTACAAAAAATATATGTCGATCATAAAACTGTATCTAAAGAACGTTGTTGTTAGTCCTTGTTGTCACCGTGCTGGTCAGAATCACAGGCGCCCTACATGTAACAGAACGAAATGCTGCCTGGTCCTGCGCCCGTCTCACCAGTGTCCCGATGTCTGAGCCCGTTGTTGGTGCCATTGTGCCAACCCATCTAGTGAACGGCCTTCTTTTCCACTGACTTCTGCTTTACCAACAGTCCTTCTCCAAGGACTATTACAATATTGCCGTCTCTGTAATATAACTCAAATATTGTTGCACCCAAATGAAGCTATCTCGTGTCACTATAACTCTATGACGTAGCTATGTTATGTATCCTAGACCTAAAGTTTTACAATAGAAACCATTCAAAAATAAAAATTCACAGTTCTTTGAACAGAGTGCACACTATTCATTTTAAACAAGTATGGTTACTCTGCTTCATGATCCAACAGTGTGCATTCCACCTAAGGGCCTATGTTAACAACTGTCATGACACAAACAGAAGATGTTAAAATATTAACATGGATATAGATTGCATATTGGTATGAGTACTCTAAGGGTGCTTCAAACGTTCATGAAAAAGTGGAATTAAAAGATAACAATTTTTAAAAATAATTTTAACAGTTTTATTGACAAATAATTCAGATATCATGCAATTCAATAGTTTGAACAAACAGAAAAGACTTGTGCAATCATTACAATCGATTTTAGAGCATTTTCTCCTTGTATTTATGATTAGCTCCCCTCCTGCCCGACCCCACCCCCACACCACTTCCTATACTATAACCCCAAGAAACTATTAATCCAATTAACTGTCCCTACAAATTAACCTGTGCTGGATTTCACATAGAAAAAAGCATACAAATCAAACCGCTAAGTAAATGAATGAATGAATATATACATACATACATAAAAACAACAAAATAAAAGACAGAACCTCAGTTGAAGAGATAAGAAAAGAATAAAAACTAGAACATATTAACATGGAACAAAGGGAGAACAAAGGAATTTTTCCATGAAATTTCTGAAGCGCATTTGTTAAATCCATATTATGTTGTATTACTTTAGAGAATAGTTTAAGTGCTGTATTAGTCTAGGTACTTTGGAGAAACAAATCCACAGCAACTCACGTATAAGAGAGAGTTTTATGCAAAGAAAATGTGCATCACGAAAACATCCCAACCCAATGCTGCCCAAGCCCACAAGTCCAACATTAACCCATTTACCCAACACCAGTCCACAAAGTCCTTCACCTCACAAAACAGAGGCAATGATGCCGACTGCAGGAGGAAAGCTGAGTCAGTGAACGTGTACCCATCTCAGCACTGGCAGGGATCTCCACACGGCTGCTCCAGCACCCAGGGCTGCATTGGGATAGATCCATGCGGCTTCTCCTTGGGGATGTCTTGTAGGAAATCCATCTTGCAAGCCGAAGCAGGGAACTGCTAAGGCAGCTGCACCCGATGCAACCATCACAAAACAAGAGACCCAAGAACTAGAAAGGCGAGGCTTCACCACCCATTTATCCCTCTGCCTTTCAACCAGCACCACATGTGATTATCGGCCAGGCTGGCACAATTAACTAACTCAAGTGCTCAGTTATAAATGAAGATAAAACATTTTCAAAAATTTGACTTACGGGAGTAGCTACAAAGGTTATCTAGCTTTAAATTGACTGCAAATGGAAGTAAACCAGAAGCCTTATAACTGAAATGGGTACTGAAATTCTAGTTTCTGGTGTAGTACGAACTTTCTAAAGAACATTCTCTCCTCGGACATTTAAAACAACTTTTGCAGTCATCAATACAATCCCTTTTGGAATATTTTCTTCTTCCTTATATTCATGATTAGTGCCCCCGCCCCCAGCCCCCCAAGCCACTTCCCCTGCCAAAAACCCCAAGAAACTATTCATCCAATTATGGTGCCCACATCTAGTGATTAAAAAAAACCCTCAAAAACTAATTAATAATAATAACAAAAAATATATAGGAAGACTTCAGTTGAACATATATCAGAACACAACACTAGAGCAAAGTAAAATTTTAAAGGATAAATGTCTACAGAATAAAATGCTATTTAGAAAGCAACCTCTCAAATGACTTATACCTGAATTACCTTCTATTTCCTAAAACAAAACATAAGCAAATATTCCTAGGTATTACAGTTCCATATTTTAGATATTTTCTTTTAAAAAGCTAGAGATTTTAAGAATCTTTTACTCCTAAGACATCTCTTAAAACTAAAGTACTCTGAAAAACAGTTCAACAAATATCCAAAATCAAAACTCACTGGCACGGAGTCGATTCCAGCTCAAAACAACCCTACAGGACAGAGTGACCCCCTCTGGGGGTTCCTGTGTTCGTCTGCGTAAACTAGGGAAACAAATCCACAGAAACTCATGTACATAAGAGAGAGTTTTATAGAAAGGGTAAGTGTACATTAAGAAAGCATCCCAGCCCAGTGCTGTCCAAGCCCATAACTCCAACATTAGCCCATATGTCTGACACCGATCTACAAAGTCCTCCTCAATCTCTCAAAACACACGCAATGATGCCAACTGCAGGAAGAAAGCCAAATCAGTGAGCATGTAAGCATCTCAGCACTGGTAGGGATCTCCACACGGCTGATCTAGCGTCCAGGGCTGCATCAGGGTAGGTCCATGTGGCTTCTCCTCAGGGATGTCTTGCAGGAAGTGAACCTTGCCAGCTGAAGCAAGCAACTGGCTAAGGCAGCTGCACCCTGGTCCGACCATCAGAGAGCAAGAGACCCGAGAACTAAAAAAAGGAGAGGCTCACCGAGCCGTTGATTTCTCTGCCCTTCAGTTAATCCCACATGCGTTCATAGGCCAGGTTGGCACAAAATACCTTAACTATATCTGTTCCCAAAGCTGTAAATCTTCACAGGAGAGGAAGCCTCACCTTTCTCTCAAGAAACAGCTGGTGGTTTTCAACTACTGAACTTGTGGTTAGCAGCCCAATGTGCAACTTGCTATGGAACTTTGATCAAACAGAGTAGCCATTTATTTCAAACATATTTCTTAATAGATGCTTATATAAACTTACTCATATAAAAATATAATGCTGACCTTGCCAATTTTGACGCCTTGTCACAAAAGAACCAAATTTCAGTAATAGAGGAAAATAAAACACGGCATGCCCATGATATACAACACTATGCCAATAATAAGAAATAACAGAAACACTTAGGATGCTTATTAATATGAAAAGATGTTTAGAATATGATATAAAGTGAAGAAAACAGATCATGAGACATGTAGGGAAACACCAAATAAAATGGAAGGGCAAAGAAATATTTGCAGCGCATTAGTAAGCATGGAGTTAATCACTTTATATGATAAAAAAAATTCTAATAACATCAAGTAGAAAAAGATGCATGTGACCAAGTGAAAAAGAAGTCACAAAGGGAAAATGACCTGAGGACAATACCTGCGAGACTAGATCTAAAAGGAACGTCCGTCACCCGGTTCATCTATCATAGTTACGGGGGCTCGCAAGCGGGTGCTGACGCCA